TATATATATATGTCTTTGTAATGTTCTAATCATTTAAACTTGAAATAAAATGGATTGATATTGAATTATAGGGTTATCATTGTAAGAAAATATTAGTATAGTCCAAATGTCACGTCGGTGACCATGGAATAGCTCAGCTATAAGCTGTGACTTTTTTCCTCAGCTCTAAACCCTACGACGTGAACAACGATGTGGTTTCTTTGTGGAGTTTCCCGATTGCTGAGCCGCCCCTCCCTCATATTATTGTATTCGCACCTTTAATGTTAAAATGAACACTTTAGACTTTAGTGTAGGCCAGATGTCAGAGGTCCTACTACTAACGCGACGGGTGGGTCGTACTTGTCCCGACTCCCCAATCTGCTGTGGCACTGTGGCTTATAAACCAGTGCGGCATATTAGGGAAAAGAAAAAGGTTCAGAATTTTTTTAAAATTTAGGCTTATTTTCAGATGCGCTCAATAGCCCGAACTTTATGGTAAATCAACGGTTTCCTAAATGTTTGTAACAGTCCATATCTTGGGTATTTTTTTCTAGAGGGAATATGTTTTCATCAAAAGTACTGTATTCAAGGTAGATTCTAGATTCACAGGGCTGTCCATCATTACGAATTTGTCAGAATCAGTACGATTATTATCTCATTTTACGAAAATGTGATCATATAATACCAAATTTTTAAAATTTTGGTTGCTCCAACCCACGGTCAACATTCAGGTGAGATCTAATATTATTCAGTCCCCGTCGGATTATGCTTTTTTTTGGGCATAATTTTGCAACATTTGCATAATTTTGGATTCCCCGCGTTTTTTTCAATTTTAAGACTTGTTTGCATAATTTTTTAACAAAACAATTTAACCAAACACCTCGCCGTTTGACTAAAGGGAAGTAATCACAGTAATAAGTTTGATATAAGTGACAAGTTGATTATTTCCCTTGTTAGAAGATCTTTGGGGTTGTTTTAGAGTTAAATAAAGGGATTTTGTTCCTTGAGCCTTTTCAATTTTTTAATCCGTCAAAAGTTGTTCATTTTTAATAGTTGTCCCTGGTTTTAGTGACGTGCCAGCATCAGAGGTCCAGATGCCTTTTTTTTTTTTTTAAAACATTTTTCTCCCCTCTATTCTATACAGCTGAAAGTCACAGAGATAACGTTTCGTTGTTATTTTTTTCTGACTGATGTGCATTGTTTTCTTTCCAAAAAGATTACTGATACTGATATGTCCTGATTTCAATTCTTCTGTACATAAAACATGAAAATTCTTGTAGAAAAAGTGCAAAACATGTCATGAATGGCGTTACGGTAACTTGCATAACTTTTGCATAATTTTGTATTTTTCTTGCATAATTTGGTCATCTAAAAAACAAGCACTCGCAGCATTCAAGAGATTATTAGGAGTTAGTTCCCCTCACATCTGTGAGATAGACTCGACCAGTGTAATATTTAGCTTACATAATCAATGCTTGTGACTGCTTATGACTGTGGCCCGAAAGGGGTGAAAAGGGCATATGTGGCAATGAAAAGGTTTTTGAGTTTTGCGCACAATGTTCCCTTCAACTCTTTGAGTAGACTCTTCCAGCCTCACTTTAAGCTTACTTAATCAAAGCTTGTGACTGCCTATGGAGTGGCCCGAAAAGGGTGAACAGGCTGTTTCTGTGGTAATGAAACCGTTTTGAATGTTAGGCGTACTGTTCATTTGTGATTATGAACGTCTGTTAACATTTAATTTATGAAGTTTACGTTTATGGGTGAATTTGACTGTGGCAATGTTTCAAAATTAGGAAGGGAATCAGTGATTATTTGATTATATAGACGCTTCGCCACTGGCGGCTATGAAATTTATTTAAGCCATACTGACTGACAAATGAATTTTCAGTTTTATTTTCATTTTACCATATTGTGGCTCTTGAATAGTGAAGATGATAGCTAAATCTTGATTCACCATATAAAATTAGCAGAAGAAGGCTAGCAGTAGTCAGAAAGCCTGTATCTGCAAGATCTAACTTATTATGCCTTTGGGCCTTGGGCTTTGGAATGTAAATAAAATTCTAATTAATTTATAATTCAGCATCTAGCTCTATTTTCCAGAGTTAATAATAATAGATTTCATAATAACAATCACTTTTGCTTTCGTTTGATACAACTTTTTTCTATAAGTTAAAATCAGTTTTGCACAAACTTACTAGTAGAAGAGTAAAGCCTCTGCTCAGTCTTGCAGTAAGCCTACCTATAATAATTTTATGTTATTTTTCTGGATTTTTTTTTTGATTTTTTTTTTTACATTACCAGATAGAGTGGGTGGTTGGCAGGTGTTCTGGTGTGGTTTGCTGCTTCTTCTTTCCTATCAAACGTCTATCGTCCTGATCTCTCCTCCTCCTCCTCCTATTTTGTGTTTGTTACTCTCTTGTACCACTTCTAATCTTCGGCACTTATATGACCTTTTTGTGTTGCAAGTGCCGTAAAACTCTTACTAAAACTAAACTATCAAATAGTGCCATTTTAATCTTTGCTATTTGCCAAAGAATAGTAGGAGAATTTTCCAACTGTGAGTCTCTGACTCAATATTTCAACAAAAATTGTGCTCATCAATGAAAATATTGATTGCTAATTGATGATAACTCAAAGCAATACAATTGTCATGAATAGTGAAGAAAAATGTGGGTAAAAATAAAAGAATGAGGTAGACTATGAGTTATCAAAAACATTGCAAGTGAAGATCATAAGATGATTTTGTTATTTTCTGGTCATCTTTCCGCGGTTTATTAAATGTTCCAGTGGGCTACTATATTTCTCCGAAGAACATTTTTCTTGACTTTGTAAGCACCTTTATGTACTCGAAAGCATACAATAAAATAGTCTGACACAAATGTATGTACAATACTTTGAAAAAGATGGATAAGGAGCATGACTTATGGTCAATATAAGAGGTGTTTTTTACATTTTTAAAAATCAGAATCTGTTTACGATGAAAAAAGCTCTAAAATTAAAGAAGTTTTATAATCTTAAGAATGCCCCCAAAATTAAAAATATATTACTTAGTTGGCTTAACTCTTTATTAATTATGAACAGTGAAGAAAAACAAAGAGAATGATGTATGATTTGTCTAAATTTGACCGTTAGCAGCAAAAATATTTTTTGTCAATTCCGGGTTATCCTTAAGAGTGATTTTTTAAAATCACCCTGTACCTCTATAAGTACCCCAAAAATATTTCTGTGACTTTGTAAAGAGGTGTTTTGTAGTTAAAAGTTGGGTGCATTCTATGTAAAATTCCCAACAATTTGATTTATAGCACTTAAAAAAAATAATATATGCATTTTTCATAGAACTAATCATTTGTGTTATTGAGTTGTGTTTGGGTGTCACATAAACTGTTTGATGATCATGAAGGCAAGGGCTTTCAAATGAAAGTATTTCAAAGCACATCAGACAACTGCAACTGTGAAATTTTCACTAAACTGCCTACATATTTACCCTTCGAAAAACATTAGACTTAAGACTTAACGAGTGCCAAAGCCAGGAGTAAATTGAAGACAAACATTATGTTGACAAGGTGTTAGAAAATTCCTGCCCTTTTGTCTTTTGAGTTACAGTCCAGGCCCAAGTGAGAATTTACAAAATAATAATAATAATAATAATAATAATAATAATAATAATAATAATAATAGGATAATAATAATAATAATAATAATAATAATAGGATAATAATAATAATAATAATAATAATAATAATAATAGGATAATAATAATAATAATAATAATAATAATAATAATAGGATACTAATAATAATAATAATAATAATAGGATACTAATAATAATAATAATAATAATAGGATAATAATAATAATAATAATAATAATAATAATAGGATAATAATAATAATAATAATAATAATAATAATAATAGGATACTAATAATAATAATAATAATAATAGGATAATAATAATAATAATAATAATAGGATACTAATAATAATAATAATAATGATGATAATAATAATAATAATAAGAAGAAGAAGAAGTAGAAGAAGAAGAAGAAAAAGAAGAAGAAGAAGGATCATCATTGTTTGAAACTTGCAACAATTAGCTGTTGTGGGAGAGTGGCATGGTGTAATGTGACGCACAATCACGACTTTGTCTAGCTTTAATTTATACTTGGCTACAACCCTTCCTTGACACCCTGGGGAAGAAGGTGATCCATGGCCATATTACACATTTTTCTGCTAGATTACTAATTTTTTACTTGTTGATTACTTAAACATATTTTTTTCAGTGGGAGGGTGGCCCTGGACCTGGATTCAGAGCATCGGGGCGACCATTTCTGTCGGCAAGCTTTCGAATTTTTGGGGGTTTATTTTTGGTTTGGCCCCTTCTTTCCTATCAAACAACTGTCGTCCCTATCTCTCCTGCTTTTTTGTGTTTATTACTCTCTTATAACAACTTTAATCTTCAGCATTTGTATGATCTAACTGTGTTGCAAGTGACAAAAAACTAAAACGTTTACTAAAACCAAAAACCTGTTATCTCTGCAGATCTCTACATGTCCAGCCAAAACCAATGCAGCTGCAAAACGCCCCCCACCTAGCCAAGGTGCGGGTCCTTCTTCAGCAAACGGAAACACGCCATCGAAAAAGAAGACACTGAATCCCAGTATGTCAGCAGCCCCAGAGACTGCACCTCATGCACGCTTTGGAAAACATGTCGCCACTGTTCTTGACTCCTTTGATCGCGATGACGCCGCCGCAGCTGTAATAGAAATCCAAGAGGTCCTTATCAAATATGTCACGAAAGTATAACCTCTCACAGTGGCAGACTACTGCTTCTATCAGTTGGCAGTCACAACATACTATAGCTATTTTTATGCATTGTACCCACTCATGGAGATTTACAACAGAGCTGTGATCGTATTCATGAAAGTAGTAGATTATAATATGTGACTAATACAGGGCAGTACATTGGTCACAAATTTTCGCCGTATGGTTGATCAGCTGCGTGCGCCCAGGTTTTTATTAACTCTTTCAGTATGCAAGGGATTCCACTATTATACACACACAGGTTTTCAACTAGCACAATCACCAAAATGCCAGTGTGGAGAGGCGGACGAAACTGTTGAACACATCCTTCAGCACTGCAAAACACACAGTGCCCTGAGACAGGAAACATGGCCAACCCCACTGACACTACAAGAGAAGCTATACGAGCCGACAGATGAACTGAGCAGGATGGCCCAATTTATGACAGATACCGGACTTCAAGTGTGATGCGATCGAGAAGAAAAAAGACACACCCAGGCGCCTGGAATGCTACTTTAAAACGGCTGTAGTTCAATCAAATTTTGATGAATTTGTTTGTTTGAGCACTCTAACTATTCGCAATTCGGGCAGAAAGTCACTCTCTAGGTGAAAATAAGAAGTTAATGTAGCACAGGACCATTTGTAGATCTTGGGGTTGACAAAGTCCTCTATACCCCAAAACACCACTTAAGTGGCGATCTGGAATCAAGGATCTTAGAGAAACAGCAAATTTTGATAGGTTTAAGCGATTGCTCAAGACTCATTTGTTCAATTGTTAGTTATAGTGTGTTAGTAAATTTTGATCTTTTAATATACACGTGTATATAATAATAATAATAATAATAATAATTACACTTTTATTTGTCCCAGAAGGGTACTTTGTTTTACAATGGCAAACATACATACATAAAGACATAATTATAAATACGTACATACATAAATACATACATGCATAAATACATACATAAATACACACTATTACACAAATACAAAACAATTTACAAACAATGCCACTGTCGGTCGCCACTGTGCAGCGCCCTGCAATTTGAGCTAGGGTTGTCATGTCTTGCTCAAGGACACACTCCAGTGACCGCCCATCTGATCCCCGTGTCACCGACACTTGCTTGACATATATATATATATATTTACATTTTGTTTTCACGGTCCTTTCGTGTATAGTTAATGCACATGTATGGTTGTGAAAGTTCTTCTTTATGTGGTTTAAACTGGTTTTTCTTGCTTCTGTGAAATATTTTCCCTTGTGTGAATGATTATGTGATTGGTGGAAAGCACTCAGGGCTTATACTAGTATGGGATAGAGCGCTATATAAGTGCACTCTATTAGTATTACTATTATTATTATTATTATTATTATTATTATCATTTTTATTATTATTACTACTATTATTATTATTATTATTATTATTATTATTATTATTTTTTATTATCATTTTTATTATTATTACTATTATTATTATTATTATTATTATTGTTATCATTTTTATTATTATTACTCATTTACTACTATTATTATTATTATTATTATTATTATTATTATTATCATTTTTATTATTATTACTACTACTATTATTATTATTATTATTATTATTATTAAGGAGTTATCAGTAAATTATGAGCTGAAAATGCGGAATCTTAGCTGAATGTAGTCATTCGGAGACAAAATTAACTTCGAATGGCTTTTGTGTTGTACAATTTCAGTTTCTTTTTTAATAGCGGGATCTAAAGCCAACCGGGATCATAAGTAGTGGGATTTTCCATGGTGGCTACTGTCGTGTGTGTGTGTGTGTGTGTGTGTGTGTGTGTATGTGTGTGTGTGTGTGTGTGTATGTGTGTGTGTGTGTTATAGATATGAACAGGTTTTGCGACATATCCATTTTTCTGGTTTTGAGAAAATTGAAGATTTAAAAAAAATGTCACCAATTTAATGAATAATCTTGAGCAACTTGGGTTTTAGTTTTAGGGTCAACATGATGTAAGGCTTAATTGGTATTCGCTAATTAATGAAATCTACGTTGGAATCTCGTCCTCAAATCGTTAAAATCTCACAACATTTTTGACAAAACGTGACATATCCACATTAGTGCATGTACTGTGTAAGGAAAGGAAAGAACAGCAGTCACTTTCGTGGGACACAAGCAAAGTCACGTGACTCGAGCAAAGAACTTGATTGGCGTGAAGAGGATATTTGCGGTTTGTGAAAAAAAGGCCTAGATCTACAACCTCTTTTGTCACGTTTTGTAAAAACAAGTGCAATTTTTCGCAATATTTTAATGAAGAATATTGTCCTTTGTGAAAAACAAAGTTGACCCCCGGGGTGTGATTTACCTTTCTAGATAAGATGGTACTTGTTTCAGCCAAACTTCAAAAGTGGCGTTTGGGGTGTTTTGTCGCGAAACATACATGTTGCATATCATATAACATGTTGTTAAAAATAGGGAATTTTTTAGGGTATGGATAAATACACAGTAGGCCCCCTATACGTGTATTTACTGCAGGAACCCCCACCCCCACCCCTCACAGACAGTTTTTGGATACCAGTTTGGCTTATGATAACCAACCGTTTGGTGGAGGAAATTACTAAAACATTTAATTGTTGAAAGTGCCAATGGTAGCATAGCATAGGCCTGGCCCACGTTTTGAAATTGCCCAATCAGACACAGAGACCTAGATATATAAATAGATCTGATTCTGAATCGGTGCCCTTCATAACTAGGCCCTCGGAAAGACAACCCTCTGTTGACCATCTTAATCTGGTTTGTCCTTCTTCTTCTTCTTCTTCTATCCCGTGGTTGGGGCAACCGTTGGGGCACCACTGCATTGGAAAACCAGCACTCGCCATCTATTTTTGTCCTCTGTTCTCCTCAGATTGTCACCCATCATCTTTCCTGTCCCCTCTGTAATGTTGTCCTCCCATCTCCTTCTCTGCCTTCCTCTCTTTCTCTTTCCTTGTATGGTTGCTTGCAGGATTGTTTTGGCAAGTCCTGTGGATCTTGTGACATGCCCATACCATTTTAGTTTTCGTCTCTTCACTGTGGTGAGTAGATCTTCATATTGCCCCACTGCGTTGGTGATTCTCTTTTGTACTCCAGCATTTGAAACGTGGTCTTTGTACGAGATGTCAAGGAGTCTACGGTAACATCTCATCTCTGTGGTCTGAATCTTTTTCTCTAATTCTGCTGTTAGTGTTTGTCCTTAACCCCCATAAGACCTGGTAGCTTTAAGAGTTGCCTTGGTGGCTTTGTGTTAAGAGGTTATACATCGTCTGTGTTATTCCCAAACCGGCTACAAGCAAAATTTTAAATCTTTGTTGTATTTGATTAATGAATAGTAAATGTATGTGGCATGATACGTGTCCCAATAAGATAAGATACATCTTTATTGTCCAGATCCTGGCACAGTGATTTGGTGTTTCACACACGCACACACACACACACGCACACACACACACACACACACACACACACACACACACACACACACACACACATATATACACTCACATACACATACACACAAACGCACACACACATGCACCCACACGCATGCTTACATTCACATGCATATGAGCAGCAATATTAACAATAATAGTCTTAAGCTAGATACACTCTGAATGTTATTCTGATGCATGCTCTAAGGTCGTATGAATACTTACAAGATGGTTAATTAAGATGGAAGAATTTTGATGGATGATGGTAAAAATGACCTTCAGTATCTTTAAATTTCTTTGCTACAGATCAGAAGCCTGGGTCTTTAACTTCTGACTGATGTTTTTATTTGAGGGGACAAGGGATGTTTGTTGTCTAAAAAGATGGAATTAAATTTTTTAGTGCAAGCTGTTATGTACATAATATGTACAATTCATTCAAGTAAGGGAATGTAGATGTTGAAATTTTACATGCTTTCCATACTAGTCGATTTAATTTTTCCCGTATCTTGTTGTCTTGTGTTCCCCGCCCATGCTTTTATACAAAAATTGATCATACTTTCTATGGTTGAATGATAGAATATGGACATCAATGTTTTATCAGCTTTAAAATACATGAGCTTCCTTAGAAAAAAATAGTCTTTTGTTCACTTTTTTATGCTGGAGAGAAGTGTGGACACGCCAGTTGAGTTTGTTTTCTATTGTAACACCCAAATACTTATTGTCTGACTCTTGCTCGATGTTTTCACATTTAATTTCAAGTGGCTGCAGGGGCAGTTTCTTTTCTAAAATCAGCAACAATTTTTTTTTTCCACATTTAAAAGCAGCTTATGGTTTTCACACCATTCAGAAAAGTTAAGTACAACATACCGGTAAGCGGTTTCGTTATGGTCAGTCTGAATTAGCCCAATTATTGTTGAATCAAATCAATTGAATAAATATGAGGTTTGAAAAAAATATAGAAATATGTTTCAATTGAGACTTTCCAGAACGGACACCTGCAGCTGGGGGAAAAGTGTCCTGGCCCAACCAGCCATGTACGTAGCCATTTTGGTTTCAGCAGGCCGTCTTGACACGTGTCGAAACGTGTCATCCAAACCGGCTACATGCTTCCCTACCACGCATCTCCTCCACGTTCCATAAAAGGTTGTTTTTTCCCCTTGATCTAAACCACCCAAAACCCATGGACACAGAGGAAGGCAACATCGTAGAAGACCAAAACCCATGGACACAGAGGAAGGCTCCATCGTAGAAGACCAAAACCCATGGACACAGAGGAAGGCTCCATCGTAGAAGACCAAAACCCATGGACACAGAGGAAGGCACCATCGTAGAAGACCAAAACCCATGGACACAGAGGAAGGCACCATCGTAGAAGACCAAAACCCATGGACACAGAGGAAGGCATCATCGTAGAAGACCAAAACCCATGGACACAGAGGAAGGCATCATCGAAGAAGACCAAAACCCATGGACACAGAGGAAGGCACCATCGTAGAAGACCAAAACCCATGGACACAGAGGAAGGCATCATCGTAGAAGACCAAAACCCATGGACACAGAGGAAGGCATCATCGTAGAAGACCAAAACCCATGGACACAGAGGAAGGCATCATCGTAGAAGACCAAAACCCATGGACACAGAGGAAGGCATCATCGTAGAAGACCAAAACCCATGGACACAGAGGAAGGCATCATCGTAGAAGACCAAAACCCATGGACACAGAGGAAGGCTCCATCGTAGAAGACCAAAACCCATGGACACAGAGGAAGGCTCCATCGTAGAAGACCAAAACCCATGGACACAGAGGAAGGCACCATCGTAGAAGACCAAAACCCATGGACACAGAGGAAGGCACCATCGTAGAAGACCAAAACCCATGGACACAGAGGAAGGCATCATCGTAGAAGACCAAAACCCATGGACACAGAGGAAGGCATCATCGTAGAAAACCAAAAAAGGCAGAAACCTTCAACAAGTTCTTAGCTTCTTTTATAAACCAAGCTACACCCCACACTGACCAACATAGAGACTGTCTGAAAAGACTGAAGGAGAAAGAGCATGCGCCAAATGCAAGCATCTCTCTCTTTGAAGATGACTTCACACTCACTGAGCTCAACAGGGCAATGAAGAAACTGAAGCCCCGCAAATCCCCAGGACCAGATCCACAATGAAATGCTTGTCAACCTCAGTCCCGTTGGAAAGGGCTATTCTCCAGCTGATCAACAAGACGTGGAATGAAAACACCATCCCCAGAGCATGGAGAAACGCCATCATTACACCCATTCTCAAGAAAGGAAAATCTGCTCAAGAAATGAAACAGACTGACAAACACTCACACACACACACACACACACACACACACACACACACACACACACACACACAGCGAAATAGAGAGAGAATATGACAGAAAGACAGACAGACACACTCACACACTCACACACACACACAGAGAGAGAAGAGAGAGAGAGAGAGAAAGACAGAGAGAGAAAGATAGAGAGAGAGAAAGACAGAGTGAGAAAGCAGCGGAGAATAGGCAGGAGAGACAGAGACTTCACACGTTATAATAAATTATGGTATACTTGGAAAAAGGTCCAGGTTCCATAAATCTTTGCAAAGTATTCTCCCAAAATTCATTTCCTCGGTCATTTCCCTTCATCTCCAGCCCTTGCTACACGAGACTCATTTACCGATCGTTTGGCCTAAAAGGTTTTTTTTATAACACGACATCACCTCGCAACTAAAATGTTTAAGACTTAAAAGAAACAAAACACAGTTGATTTTGAAGGTAGAACACTCAGTCACAATACTAGAGGAGTCCTCTTTTATGAAGTAGGTAACAGCAACCCGAAACAATTGTTTGAGTTAGGGAAACAATTACCTTTAAAAGTCTTGTTAAACAACAGTAAACAGAAAAACAGAAAGGCCGCTTTCATTTGTGAAAGACAAATCTAGCAAAAACTTTTAAATGTCGAAATATTAGGAAAATATGTTTCAAACCTTAGTAAGCCCTTAAAAAGCACATTTTTCAAAATGAACAAAGTGACAGATATAATTTTTTCTAAGCAAAACCATGATATAATTATATAATTATTAGTACACCGACTATATAAACGAATCGAGATACTTGATAAATGAATACGAGGTGGTCCCTTGTCACTGTACTTCACGTCTTGGGCTCGCCACTATGGCGACATTCTGCTAGTTCATTAAAATTGGGTAAAAATTTAAGGGTGACCTTATTTAGGCCACATATGGCCTAAATAAGCTAAACCCCCCTCCCTTACCTTATTTGGGCCACAGGTGGCCTAAATAAGCTAAACCCCCCTCCTTTACCTTATTTAGGCCACACCTGTGGCCTGAATAAGCTAAACCCCCCTCCCTTACCTTATTTAGGCCATACCTGTGGCCTAAATAAGCTAAACCCCCCTCCCTTACCTTATTTAGGCCACATATTTAGTCAAAATAACCAAACCAATGTAAAGCATTGTTTTCTTTACAAGTTACATTATTATCTCTTAAAAACTCTTCACATCCATTTTCCTTCACAGCCGTATCGTACATGACATGTGATGTAGAATCAATTTAAGGTCCTTGGAAAGGTGACCAGAAAATAACAAAATTATTTTATGATCTTCACTTGCACTTGCAATTTTTTGGACAAATTAAAGTCTACCTAATTATATTTTTTCCCCTCATTTTTCTTCACTATAAATGACAACTGGCATGTATTGTTTTCAGTTATTATCAAGAAAGTGGATAGGCGGACTACGGGGTCTATCTAGCCAAAAGGATAGGTGGACCCCGGGGTCTACCTAACAAAATGTTAGGTTTTAGGATGTGAACCCCGGAGTCAGCGTAGTGAAATAAGTAGATCTAGGTTTAACTAAGGATCGGTGGACCCCGGGGTCAACATAATGTAATAAGTAGATCTAAGTTTATTTTATAATAGAACTGGCGGAGCCCGTGGTCAAAGTAGTGAAATTATAAGTAGATATAGGTTTAATTAAGGATTGGAGGACCACGGGGTCTATGTAGTGAAATCAGTAGATCTAGGTTTAATTAAGGATTGGTGGACCCTGGGGTCAATGAAGTGAAATAAGTACATGTAGATAGATCTAGGTTTAATTTTAAGGATTGGTGGACCCTGGAGTCAACGTAGTGAAATAGGTAGGTTTAAGGTGAACCCCAGGGTCTACCTAACGAAACACTAGTTAGGTTTTAGAATAGGTGGATCCTGCGGTCACCGTAGTAAAATAAGTAGGTTTAATCAAGGTGTCCCGGGGGTCCACCAATCCTTAATTAAACCTTCTTAATCCTCTATGGCCTTGGTGACTCCGGGTTCCACCAATCTTTAAAGAAACCTACTTATTTCACTGCGGTGACCCCAGGGTCCACCTGTCCTAAAACCTAGTACCAATCCTTACTTAAACCAAACCGTATTTCACTACGGTGACTCCGGGGTCCACATCCTAAAACCTAGTATTTCGCTATGCAGACCCCGGAGTCCACCTATCCTCTACAGGACTATACTATTATTATCAATTTGCAATTTTCATTGATTAGCATTTTTGTTTAAATATAATATTGAATCAGAGTGCAGGGGAGGCCGAGGCGCCCGGTCGATTTGGTGGTCGGCTTTTGTAGATCTATGCATTTTTTACGGAAAGCCGTATTACCTAACCCTATTACTAGATCTATTAGTGTTGTGAAAACTTCAACCTCTACATCTCAGGCGTCAAAAGATGCTGGTAAATAATAATAGATCTACGTCCTGAAGTTTCATAATTCATTTTTATACAGAATAACACAGTACACAGTCAGTAGTTTTTATTTCATCGAGTTATAAAAATGGCCTTCGTATAAAAATTGCCTTGTTTTCAGAAGCAAGTTTTAATAGTTCTAGTTCTACCTAATCGATTTTCATGCGAATTCAACCATTTTGATGATCTTTCTTTTCCTTTTAAAAAGATATAGATCTAGGCCTGTCGGATGTGGCAGTGCGAATAGCACTGAGTTATTTAGATCTAGATCTAGATCTAGACCCATCAAAACACGAGGCTTCGTGGCCGATCACAAAAGTCTACGGGGCTTATCGAGGCCGATTCGCCCTGCCGCGAGCACGTTCACTAAACTGCCTACTAGATAGAATCTACTACCAAATATTCTCTATACGATCTTTGCTACTACTACTACTAGGCCTACTAGCCTACATGTACTACTACGAGACAGTACGAGAGAGTGTCACTCAGGCAAAGATAGTGTAACTTTGACTCAGCCACGTAGTATACACACTTTTTATACCCCAAATTTAACCCGAAAGTCAATTCGGAGGATTTGACCTTTTCACTTGACCAAAGTGTGCCAAAATGGTAGCCTAGCTTTTGCCCCTCCATGAAAGAAAAATCCGGCCCTCATTCAAACCATTGGAATTGAGCAAAATTTTGCGTTTTGTGCTTTGTTCTTTACAATATTCATTATGGTTATGATTTATAAGTTGTACACTGAGGCAAAACCATTCTAAATGAGAAAGGTGCATCATTAGGAAAGTAGAATGAACTCAGTTGCCTGAAAAGGGTAGTTTGAACATGTGTGGCCTAAATAAGCTAAACCCCCCTCCCTTACCTTATTTAGGCCACAGTCCACTGTGGCCTAAATAAACTAAACCCCCCTCCCTTACCTTATTTAGGCCATATGTGGCCTAAATAAGCACTCCCAAAATTTAAACATATCAATGAACAAAAAAAAAATCAATCAACAAAAAATGAAATAACCAGACCTGAAAGTCACAGTTAGTATTGCAAGATAACAGTCAAAGATTGTGACTTGTCTGTTACTACGTAGCGAATAATGCCAGAGTCGAATATAGTAGTAGTAGTTTCACTTTCTTTTTATTCTTCAAACAAACAAACAGACAAACAAACTAACTAACTAAAACCTGAACCCAAAACACGTTAATAGATTACCTCAACAAACGAATTAATAATACTATTATTATTTTTATTACTATATCATTCAAAAAGTAGAGTATTCGCTCGGCGTCATGAATTCATCACTGAAACAATGGCCGCATTTTCATCTCGCTAAAGGTGGCGGATTTGGTATAGGTGGTCACACTCTTCCAGTTGAGGCCCTCGGAGGACTTGGTGCTGCCCCAGTCGCCGTTGAGGTTGACCCTGTGGCAAGTGTTGTACCACCAGGCCCCGTGGTACGACTTGGCGCAGCTGCCGCTGTACTCATCGTTGTCCCGGTCCTTAGTGGAGAACTCACGACCGTTGTGGTAGTCCATGTTGTCCTCCAGGTTACCAGTAAATCCAGAAACACGAAGTTTGTAGTTGTCCGATTCGCCCATGATAGAAAAGCTGTTGTATTGTGCATGGTAGTCGGTTCCATCGAAGGAAAAGTCGATCCGAAGTTCGTAATTTCCCTGGTGATGAGAGAGAGAGAGAGAGAGGGGGGGGGGATCAGAAGAAGAAGAACAAGAACAACAACAACAGCAACAACAACAACAAACAAACAACAACAAATAAACAGACAAACAAACAGCAACAACTAGACTAACAACAGTGCAGATCATTCGTATAGCACCCACCTTTGTACAGTGCTGCCTTAGCTAGGGGCTTTACAAGACATCCATTTTTTCTTCTGAACACTAAATACAAGAGACTTAACGAGCGAACACTAGTGCTGGGCGGCGAGGTTCCCTATTCTTGCAAGCTAGGAATCGTAGGAATCGACTCCGAACCCAATTACTTACTTTCTAAAGATGCAACTTCTTCAGATGGTTATCTGGTTGGGTTCTAACATCTTCAGGATTTAGGATAACCTTGATTTCGGAACACTACAAAGAATCAACTTTTATTTTTCAAAAACAAATTCTAAAAGAAAAAGATTTTATTGATCAAAGTAACTGGAAACCGTTGGTTTACATAAAAAGGAGTCGGAACTTTTCTTTCGTAACATTCATCGTGGAAATCGGTTCCGGAATCGCTTCTCCGCCCAGCTCTAGCGAGCACACGATCTTTAGATCACAGCCAA